TAGAGCATGACGGATGTGGGTTCCGCATTTTCAAGCAATAGTTGTCAACAGTTGATTGATGTTTTGTCAAAACAAATTAGCATATACGGCAGTTCAGTGTATACTTTATGTCCGTCTGGTGTGCCCGTCGTTGCGTTTTCGCAACGCTGATGGCGCCCGGTGTGCCCTTCGTTGCGATTTCGCAACGCATGTTTTTTACGTTTTTCTCGAAAAACTTTTGCTGCAGGCAAAAATTATTTTCGATTCCATGCAAGGCCCTGGTAGGAGCATAACATATTTTGATTTCGTCGATTTTCATGATGGTCAATATTCCTGGGCATAAATGGGTTAATTTATTATCTTTCACCTGTAGGTAAACAAAGAAAGTATTTTCATGAAAATAGGGGAGAGTGGGGTGGGTTGTATCAGTTTTTGCTCCGAGACCCATAACCTCGTAACTATCCGTGATAAACTCATTATTTCCATGCTTTCTCCTTCCTTGATTCTTCTGCTTTTTTGTGCAGAGTAACTTTTCCGCTACCTCTACCAGTTTTTCTTCTACGGTGTGCCGAATAGAACAATGTTTTTGATACAAACTGCCCCATGGCTTGGGTGAGTTGTATCACATGGTGGGGTAATTTGCAGTGGCGTATCCAGGATCTTGAAAAGGGGGAGGCCAAACCTGCTCAAGGGGCCCCACCCTTACCTTAGGGGCCCCAGTGGTAGCATACTTAATCCACGCACAGGTGCGGTTCTTTGCCACTTTCGCCATGTGAGGGAGCCTTTTTAGGCACACTTGGCAATCATCTAAAAACTCTGAAGGCTCATTCTGACCTCTGAAAGCCCCTCTTCGGCAACAGAGTGAACGAATCTGGCCTCAGCCGGCCCCATAATGGCCTCAGGAGACCCATACTATTGCTGACCTCCCAGGGCCCCACGCTGGCTCTTGGGAGCCTTTGAGTCAGTCTGATGGCCCTATACCGCTCTCGAACCCACGCCGGTCTCTAGAAGCCCATGCTGCCCTCTGAGGGTTCCGCGCCGGCTTCTAAGGGCCACTCTTACCTCAGGGGGCTCAAACATGCATACGATCTGAAGTATGGCTGCCGAGGCCCTCGAAGTGACCTCTAATGGCCCGACGCCAGCCTATGAAGGCCCCGTGCTGGCTTCTGAGGGCCCAGCACCAGCGTCTGAAGTCAGATGACAGCTGGCCCCACGCTGGTCACAGAGGGCCTCACAATGGCCTCAGAGGGCTCCACATTGTCTTCAGTTTGGGCCAGTACTTCGGATAAGGCTCTGACGGTCGTTTATCTTGGGACACCCAAGCATGCACATTGCACGTACCCAGGATTTCGCCCAGGAGGGGCAACCTGCTCTCGAAGGGGCCCCGGGTTACCTGGAGGCCACTGTCAACCCAGGCGGTGACGTATCCAGAACATTTCGATGGGGGCGATTGGGCACAGTGGGTCCGGTCTCCCTTGCGGACGGGCCCCTCTATCTGTCTGTCTCACTGTCTGCCTGTCTGTCTGTCTGTCTAAGCCCTGAGAAAAGGTGGAAAATTGGCAGATGAGATAAAAGTATCATTTTGTCTGAGAAATGTGCATAAAATGCACGGTCTTTTATGAAGAAGCGAAGCGAGCGAGCCCATCAGAGTCGCCGGTGTTGGTCCCTCAGACGTGTCTGTGAAAGACCGTCAGATGCGCTGGTGTGGGGTGCACACAAGCACCGTTGTGGGGGGCCTTAGGGCTTAGAGACGCTGGTAGGGGCCGTCATAGGCATGTATGGGGCCCTGAACGTTACTAGTGGCCCTTCATAGGCCGGCAAGGGAACCTCAGGTGCCGGTAAGAGGCCCTCAGAGTCGCTAGTAAGTGGCCGTTAGATGCGCTGGTATAGGGCCCTTGGAGGCGTCGGTGGGCCCCTCGGGCCCGAGGGGACCCTAAACCATATAACGGACACGTGTCCCCTCGCCCCTGGCTATGCCATTAAATCCAAGTGATCGGGTAATCAGGGGCCTCTCAGGTGACTGCAGGGGCTTTTCAATTGATCAGGGGCCCGCCATGTTACCGTGACCAGGGGACCCTCTGATAATAAGGGGCCGGTTATACCACGGGCTCCTCGGGCAACCAAGGGCCTTCATGTGACTGCAGAGGCCCTTCAGATAGCCAGGTACTCCCCGGGTAAACATGGGCCCCTCAGGTGACCAGAGCTTCTACAGATAACTGGCCAGGGGCCATCCAGGGAATCAGGGGCCCCTCAGATAACCAGGGGCCCCTCAGGTAACCAGAGGCCCCTCGGGTAAGCCCCTCAGGTAACCAGGGGTCCTTTACCAGGAGTCCTTCAGATAACCAGGGTTCCCTCAGGTAACCAGGGGCCCCTCAGGTAAACAGGGGTTCCATGACCAGGGGTCCTCAGGTAACCAGGGGCCCCTCAGGTGACCAGGGGCCCCTCGGGTAGCCAGGGGGTCCCTTAGACAACCAGGAACCTCTCAGACAATCAGGGGCCCCTCAGATAACCAGAGGCTCCTCAGATAACCAGAGGCTCGTCAGATAACCAGGGGCCCTTCAAGTGACCAGGGGGACCCTCAGGTAACCAGGGGTCCCCTCAGGTAGCCAGGGGCTCTCAGGTAGTTAGGGGCCCTCTGTGTTCGTCACTGTGATAGAAATCGCTCTTTAATATTCGTTTCTGTTCCGAGTAAAAGACGTTCTGTCTGGTACTGGAATGAAGGCAGGGAGACCCAGAACGCCTTCGTCACGCTGGTCCCCCTGAGTTATCCTTAGACCCGTGGCCCCCCTTGGGTACGTCACTGCGTTCAAGTGACCCAAAGGGCCCACTTGCATATCTGATCCCAAAGGGGGAGGCCATGGCCTCTTGGCCTCCCCCCTGGATACGCCACTGGTAATTTGTATCACTATTTCACGTTTCAGGGAGTGTGCTTGCTATTGGTTTTGAACATAACAACAACATTAAATGGGGTCAATACAATGTATATGCTCAAAGGCTTCACTTTTATTAGACCAAATTTAGGTCAATGCAATCCGAACGAAACATCGAAACGTCAAACGAACGAAACCTCAACAGACTAGACGCAAAAGTAGCCCGTTAAGAGCAAAGAAGCCAACACATTGTGCCGAAATGGAACGAATATTGACTAGCTACATACAAACGCGAGCCAGGGCTTAGCTTTCGCGATCAAAAGCAACATACCTATACATACATACATACATACATACATGTTACAACATACCCCACCCGGCTCTGATACAACATGTACCTCGCCGCCATCTTGGAAAAACATCCTCGTGCTCAAAAACAGCGGACAGCTGGAGAAATCCATTTTCACTCACGCAGCCTTAGAACCTACCCTCACCACCGCTACGGAGATCTTTCAAAGTCGTGCACATCTAAATGCCCAAAACACACATTTTCTTGCAACTTATTTTTTTTAGAATGACATTAAAAAACATAAAATCGGCTCTCACCTCGAGACGCGTCCACCCAGCCACACGACAGAACAAAGAAAGATGGCGCCCGGAAAACCTCGTCGGCTGGTCGTGTCACGAGCGCCATCTATTGGATAAGTTTGGCACAATTCGCCCTGATATAACTTGGACATGATACAACTCTCCCCGCTCTCCCCTACATTTAATTGCATTATTTGGTAACTCATCCAACTGAAAAGTGGCCAAGATGAATGCATGACGACACATTTGAATATAAATAATGTTTTTTTTTATCCAGATGGAAACTACTTATGGCCAATGGGGGGGGGGGGGGTGGCCACTTTACCCCGGCCACTTTGCCCCGCGCATACCGTCCGAGACAAAAATATTCCAGCTTAGCTATCAGTGGGGAAAAAACATTAAAATTGGTAGAATACATGTACAATAACCATGCAATGCATGGACAAGAACGCTTATAAAAATTCCTAACGGTTATGAAATAACATAACATTTAAAAATTGTAAACATAGTTGGTAACCTGGCAAGAAACTCCCCCCACTCTCCCCTATACTGAACGGTAACCGAACGAATACGTACTAAACGGTAACTGGGCGGACACGGAACGGTAACCGAGTCGGTAATTACTGAACGGTAACCGAGTGGGTACTCAACGGTAACCAAGTGGCTAATGTACGGTAACTGGATATATACTGAACGGTAACCGAGCGTAGTGAGTGGGTACCGAGCGGGTAGTGAGTGGGTACCGAGCGGGTAGTGAGTGAGTGGGTACCGAATAGATACTCTACGAGTACGGTAGCCGAGTAGATACTGTACGGATACCGAGCAGATAGGTACTGTACGGTAACCAAACGGATAATGCCTAGCTGTACCGAGCGCCGGTCATACACAGCACGCTCACGACTGCTGGCAACATACCGAACAAAATCAGCAGGTCGAGTATGTACAGGCCGGGCGTATGTTATGTATGTCACAGAAAATGCAGACACAGACCAAGGTGAGAGTACTAGGCGCAGGTAACAGTAAATTACCGACCAGCAATGGCGTAGCTGTCCATAACAGTTTGGAGTGTTGTGATGACTGATGTTAACTAGAATGATTGTTACTGATCTTGGTCTCGAATATAGAAATGTTAAATGTCGAATACGATGTATAAAAGTTGAGTGAATTTTCACCCACAGGGCATCGTCAGACAAACAATCAGCAAATCATTCTAAAATATTACAAGATGTTCCTCGCGAGAGCACTCAACAACATATATTCATGTTAACTATGTAGATTCAGATTGTTAAGTAGACCAGAGGCATGTCCCATCTGCTGCCGTTCCGGCTTGTCATATTTCACACGCTGCATAGCCACCTAGCTGGTCGTGTCAGGATTTATGCGAGCCTTCCGTGCAGGGCCCTATATCTTCCGTGTATGTGTAGGTACTGTCCAGTGCCCATGTACCGCGCAAATAAGTCACTATGAGCTGTAACGTAGCCATCCGAGCTGGTACTTAGCCCGCTCGAGCTGCCAACTATCAGAGCAATTTTTATGCGGCTTCGTGCCCTGTTTGTTTTGCAGGTTTCTTGACAAGGTGGAGGACACAAGGCTGTTCATCGGGCTGAGTTTTGCAATCCGTATTGTAGAGGCGATGGGAAATGCCGGCTTCCTGACAGCCAGCTTTTCCATAATCGCCAAGGAGTTTCCCGACAACGTGGCGACCACGTTTGTAAGTACAGCAGCGCGGTTAGAGGTGATACTGGCCAAATTGCAGGCAGGGACTGCTGATGTTTGTAAGGGAGAGCCATTATAGACGCCCGGGAAAGCTCACTAAGATGTCAGAGACTCGTGTTTCTGAACTAACTGCCTGGTTTGGCTGTCCACAGGCCTCCTTGGAGACATTCTTCGGCATCGGACTGATCGTCGGACCGACGGTGGGCGGCGCCCTTTACCAGGTAAACGAACGGCGGGAGGCGCCCTTTACCAGGTAAATGAACGGTGGGCGGCGCCCTTTACCAGATAAATGAATTGGTGGGCGGCGCCCTTTACCAGGTAAATGAGCGGCGGGAGGCGCCCTTTACCCTTGTTTAGTAGAACGAGAGCCGAACGTTCCTTCCGTGGCCTGTCACAGGCGGGTCGAGAGTGCCAGCTCTGCGAGTCGGCAAGGGTCATTTCATGCTTCTTTGTGGCTGACTTTGGTCCATCGTGAGACTGAGCTGTGTGATTGCGCCTTTTTGTCGGCTGTGGAAGGCGCTTATTAGCATTTGATAAAGTTCTTTTCGCAATACATTGCCATCGAACGATTTCGATAAAAAATACATTTTTGGAATCAGCTCACCGTCAGCTTTCAATGTCGTTTCTTTTGAGCACGAACTGACCTTCCGACGAACCATGTGCGCTCGGTGAAGTTTCGGCCGCTCTCCGACGCGACGCCTGCCGTCACCTGACGGCGAGCGGAGGGCGGCTGTAGGTAGTGGTACGGGGACCCGCAGTTGCTACTGTACAGCGACCCTGAGTATATTGTCCCAGTACCCTCACAGGGAACAACGATAAGCTGTCAGAGGGCACGCACAGAAAACCTCAGCTGCTCTTGTACAGGGACGGCAGTCGATATCAATGTTATCGGTTGTTACTGGACAGGACAGACGGTTAGACTTGGGGTTCGTGTACAGTAGCAACTGCGGGTCCCCGTACCCGGCGAGCACGCGGCCATTGCGGCACAGCAGCGCGCAGGCGGCTGCTGGCCGCCGCCTCAGCTGCAGCGCGGCGACTGCGCCGATCGTCAGTAGCAGTACCAGCCGCCATGGCTGTGTTCGTAGCCATGGTCATTACAGGAGAATATCACCCATGCTGACAGCCGATTTGCTGAGTGATTGCTGTGTGCGCCGATGCCCGTCCACTCTCCAGCAACAGTGACCGGGAGAGGAGGGGAGGTTGGTCGGATGGCGGAGCTTCGGTCACTCAGACGGCGCTCAGTCCGGTCACTCAGACGGCGCTCAGTCCGGTCAGGTGACGGCGCTCAGTCCGGTCAGGTGACGGCGCTCAGTCCGGTCACTCAGACGGTGCTCAGTCCGGTCAGGTGACGGCGCTCAGTCCGGTCACTCAGACGGCGCTCAGCGGTCGGTCAGATGCTACTCTGTCCGGTCACTCAGACGGCGCTCAGTCCGGTCAGCGGACAGTGCGCTCAGTCCAGTCAGCGGACAGTGCGCGCGCTGCACACTCTGCAGCTGAGCAGTGAGCAGCACCATCCAGTAGGTACGCAGGTGTCTGGCCGCCCAAACACTGGGCGTCTGGCGGTGGCCAGACGTGGCGCGCCAGCCGCCCGTGCCACGTGCGCCGTCCAGCGCCGACCGTGGCCCACCGGACTGCCGGCTGACCGTCCCCCCCCCGTCCCCCGTCCCTCCCGATAAACACGGGCGGCGCGGACTGCCGGTCATGGGTGCCGTTTTACGGGTACATGGGCCTGGTAGGGCCCGATACTGCAGCGGACCCATAGAGCCGACCGTGCTGCGCACTTTCCTGTGTCTCTGTGCCTGTGTCTGTGTCAGTGTGCCTGTGTCAGTGTCAGTGTCAGTGTGGTGCGGTGCGGTGCGGTGTGGTGCGGTGCGGTGCGGTGCGGTGTGGTGGTGGTGGTGTGTGTGTGTGCGTGTATGTGTGTGTGTTTGTGTGTGTGCCTGTGTGAAACTGATACGCCTGTCTCCTGCACCGGTCCATGGTGCCGGTGCGGCGGCGCGCTGACTCCCCCCCCCCCCTCCTGGACAGCTGGGTGGGTACACACTGCCGTTCGTCAGTCTGGGCGGCGTACTGTTCTTCACTGCCGTTCTGACGTTCGTGCTGCTGCCCAACCACGACGACCACTCGTGCAAGGACAGCAAAGGCGGTGAGTGGGGCGCGCCACTCGTCATCACACCGGACAGCACTCGCTACACGTCGCAAACTGAAAGGACCCAGTTGTTCACTTTTTTTGCTGTAAGGTTGACCAGAGAATGATGTTCCACTCCTTAGGAGCTATCAGTTGACTGGAACGCTAAGTTGTGCTGTTTATCGCGCAATTGAGCGTGTCTAAGGTGAACCTTGGGTCCCAGCACTCAACTGTGAACTCAGCTCGTGTGATGCGGTACAGCCTACCACTTCAGGCAACTGATTGCCCGTGAAAAGTGGAACATCAATCTGTAGTCAACTGTACATTGTGTATCATTCATTTCGCCTATAACGCCTCAAATTGAGAAGACGACATAAATGTAGCTGAAAACTATGCCAAAGTTACTAGTAGTAGTAGCGACGGTAGTGTGTACAGTTTCAGAGTGTATGCATATTGCATACCAACCCGTTGCGCACGGCCGGCGCCGCTGACCCCGGGGGCGGCGCTGTGCGCCACTGACCCCCCGGGGGCGGCGTTGTGCGCCACTGACCCCGGGGGCGGCGGTGTGCGCTGTGGTATACGCCGATGACCCCGGGGGCGGCGCTGTGCGCTGTGGTGTGCGCCACTGACCCCCCGGGGGCGGTGGTGTGCGCTGTGGTGTGCGCCAGTGACCCCGTCTCTGTCTGCCAGGCGGCATCCGGCGGGCGCTGCGAGTGCCCAGCATTGCGCTGGCCGCCTTCTCTATCATCTCGGCGTCGTGCAGCATCGGCTTCATCCAGGCGCTGCTGGAGCCGCACCTGAGGCCGGTCAGAGTCCGCACAGTCCACGGCAGTCCAGCTCCACTGTCCACACCAACACAGCAGTCCACAGAGTCCACAGCACGGGCCACGGAAACTTAATGTGCGCGATTGTATGCCCCAAAATTTATATGCAAATATTTGTGTTATTTACCAGCATTACAAAATTAGGTTTAAAGGGACCCTCCGACCTTCAAAAAAGTTAATGAATTGGCATGAAAGTGATGTCGCTCGGTTCAGAAACAGCGAAAACCAATATCTACCAAATTTCATCGAAAAATATTCACCGGTTTTCAAGATATTAGACTTTTACTTTTAATTACTTTTTGGGATCTCCGCTGTTCCTATAGCGACTTTATTTGAAAGTGCGGCATTTGTTACGCGCAAAGCAGCATATACCACCGCGTGCTACCAAACGTTTTAGTAAAAGATTTAAAAGTCGTTAGATCTCCGCTGACGTCACAAATTCTAAGGGGGCATACCAATGCATTAGCCCAATGCATTAGCCCCTTAGAATCCGAAAACTGCAAGTTTGAAATTCCATATCTCCGAATTAAAGCATTTTTCGATGTTGTGAGTGCCCAAACCGGTACTTTCAGGCCATGGCCACCAATTTGGCTATCTCAACTCAAAACTAATGTTAAGGTGGGATGGTCACTTTAAGTAACGATGTTGTTAAAAGAAAAGAATACAGGTCCGAGAATTATATTATACCTTGCGATACGTTCCAACATGAGTCTTGAAACGATTTTTACAGAGCCAATTGAACAACTTAGGTACCCCGTAAGGTGAATCATGTTACCCCACCAATGCATGGGGTATGTTGATCAATGTGTAATACCTTTCTTATCTTTTATTTATTTAATGAGCATTTCCTACAAGATATTGCAAACATTTTCGACGAGTAAATGAGCGCAATGGACTAATGTATCATTTGGTACATGAATTAATTATTGGTTCCTTTAACCCGCGACCTGGTGGGGGGGGGGGGCTATTTTTTGCCCCCCCCCTCCAGACTTTTCGATATATCTTCAGAACCGCTGCGCCGATCGTCACCAAACCTTCAGTACCCTCCCGGACATCAATTTTACACATTCCGACCAAAAATTTTTTCCAAAGGCTATGATAGGTTGGCCGGAAATGACGTCAGAGTGACGTCATGTTCTGCCGTTTTCGACCCAAAAAAGGGTTTCGCGGGAAGAGCTGTCAGGCCTATAGCTTTGCAAATACAGAAAAATGACAGGGACATAAAAGCTGTAGAATCGACAGGGCTACAAAACTGCTATCTCGGATTTTTGAAATTTTTGGATTTTGACCCCTAAAAATCAAAAAATATTTTTTTTTGGAAATAATAATCGAAAAATCCAAGAAGTTTTTTAGATTTCGCAAAAACCGGAATACATGTGATAGTCCTTACCGCCTTCCATCCACATACCAAATTTGAGATTGATACCTCTTTTTTTGGCGAAGTTATAGCGAAAAAACTGTTCAAAATTGATGACGTCAAATTTTCAAACTCAATTTTTAGCAATTCTAGACCCCGTAGCGCAAAACAAAGACCACCATGAGACTCCCCGTGACGAGCTGCATCGAATCAATACCCATTTTATGCAAAACTATCAACTTTAAAAATTGACCTTTTTGGCCTGATTTTGACCTGACCTTGACCTGAACTTCACCAGAAAGTGACCTAAGCCGTACCTGATAGTCTTATAACCAACACCATTGAGTTGGAAATGAAAAAATGGCCATAAAACATGCATCACACAACCTTAGTAAAGTTGGGCTCATGTGACCTGACCTGTGACCCTTGGTGACCTGACCTGTGACCTGACCTGGTATTGTCAGTGACCTCTAATAGCAACATATCTACTAGGCAACTGACGCCCTATCGCTGATTCTCGACAAAATGCGTTTTCCTCGGTGTTATAGCGCATTCCCTAGAAGACCCGTGAACGGTGAAACATTTCATCTTTGACCTGACCTGTGACGTCATAGGTGACCCCGAGGTCAATGAAATTTGGTTTCCTTCGACAAATTTGACAGGCCTTTCGAACGCCGTTTGAATTTTGCGGATCCATCCAGTAGTTTTGGAGATACGAGGGGGGGGGCAAAAATAGCCCCCCCCCCCCACCAGGTCGCGTTATAAGCAGACCCCATCAGGGCGCGGGTTAATATGGCGTCAAAGCAGCAAAGAAGAAAAAGTGGCTCAACTTATAGCTACTAGGTACTTTACCTACAAAGTTCGTCTACCTTACCGTACTCAGAGGGAAGGACGATGACATGTTATTCAGAGACGGGTTTTCTTTGAAAATGAAAACCCGTTTCTTTCTGGAGAGACTCTAAAATTCTGAGTTCTCACACACTGTTTGCTTTCGTCAAGATGGTGAAATTGTCCTCTGTGCAACCAATGCGTCACACATTAATGAGTGATCTCTGATAGGGAAGGGGTCAGGTTTGGCAAGGAACTTCCCAATACCTACGGACAGACTTGCCCAAATGCTGTTGCATTAGACTGTGAAGGTTGCGTATTGCGTAGGGTTGCTATCGACATATGACGCCCCACACGAGGCACAACAAAACTTGTATACTACAGTGGAATTACAACATTTAGGCAGTTTATCTTTGTACCGAAAAAAGTAGGCGACAGAGAAGCTATTGACCTGAATGATGCGAGAACCCGTAAAGGGATATAACTTCGAAAGTAAACGGATAACTTCCCGTCTCATTTTCTTCAGACTGGGGACCGAAGTACCTAAAGTAAAACGAAGTACTTCTGAAGCTTGCGAACATCGTGCACATTTGGGACTGTCAGGTATCTACAGAATCGAGAAATTTGCGAATAAATAAGCGTGAATTAAACGTTCTCCTTCAAAGTACTACCCATATCTAAAACCGCGATTCATTCTCGAAATAAACTATTGATCTCTGCATTCAAGTTCTCTATCCCAAAAATGTGCCAATCTGTGTAGTGTATAAGTTAACCCTCGCCCGTATTGGTGTTTTTCAATTCTACATTCTACAAGTGACATATTCCTGTATACAAGGCACTCTTATCGGAACGGGAAAAGGAACATCATTGTCTAGCCCCTAGGGTGATCATTGGGGTGTAAAAGCTGTGCTAGTCTCAGTTGAAGCTACAAAACTGCTATTCCAGTTCAAAACTCCATGTTATATAGCTATTTTGATTTATATAGCCATGCTATGCCTATATAAGTGGTTTATTTCCTGTAAGTGTTAATGCTGGTCTGACTGTACACTACTTAGATACATCAATCAATCCAGCAGTGGTCCTTTGCAGATGTGATGTTGGTGGGAGCGCTGTGTGCAGCTGCGCTACCGCTCCGGCCGCGCCGGCGGCTCTGACTCTGGTCTGCACCGTTGCAGTTTGAGCTGAAGCCGGTCGTGCTGGGTCTGATGTTTGTCATCAACGGCGGCGTGTACGCGCTGTGCGCGCCGGCCTGGGGCTGGCTGTGCGACAACCACCTCCGACCCAAGGTGGTGACCGCCGTCAGCGCCGTCATGGTCATCATCGGCTTCGGCCTAATGGGACCGCTGCCCTTCCTCGGCGTGGCACCGTGAGTTGCAGATGTGCCAAACATCCTCAGATGTACTGAGATACTCCCTAAAAGTACCTACTTACCGTACTCCCAGACAGTTCCCTAATGTACCAGACTCCCAGACATTCCCTAAATGTACCGAGAGTTCCACACACTCCCTAAATGTAGGGGAGAGTGGGGCAAAGCGGCCACCCGGGGCAAAGTGGCCATCCATCGTTTTAGCCCTCCACAGCTGGCGTCAGTTCCAAGTTATGATTTCCAATTATACTTCTCTTTGCGGTCGTTCGAATGAGCCAAACCGGGGTTTCAGGCCCATCGCCATTGTTCTGTGAAACACGGAAAAGCATTTCTTGCCAGGTTACCAATTATGTCTACAATTTTTAAATGTTATTTTATTCCATAACCGTTTGGAATTTTTATAAGCGTTTTTGTCCATGCATTGCGTGGTTATCGTAAATGCCTTCTACCAATTTTAATACTTTTTACCCCACTAATAGCTGAGCTGGAATATTTTTGTCTCGGACGGTATGCGCGGGGCAAAGCGGCCGGGGCAAAGTGGCCAGCCCCCAATTGGCCATAAGTTGTTTCCATCTGGGTAAAAACATTATTTATATTCAAATGTGTCGTCATGCATTCATCTTGGCCACTTTTCGGTTACATGAGTTACCAAATTATGCAATTAAATGTTTTTCCAAGAAAATTCTTTCTTTGTTTAGCAATAGGTGGGAAGATAACAAAGTTAACATCCATCTTCCCTTAAACCTTGTCACCATCAAATACCCTAGTCGTGCATGAGGCAACTATTCTGTTTCTCATATCGGGACTTAAGAAGTCGCCAGTGGCCGCTTTGCCTCAGGGATGGGGCAAAGTGGCCAATATGCTATAGGTTTAAAGTTTTGTCAATATCTCCCATATGTGAACGCCTTTGGAAATGAAACGCAGTTGGAATAAAAGACAATTTAATAGGGATCACATTGGTATAGAAAGAATCTTTCCAAGTTTAAAAATCAAGCGTCGGCATCGTTAGAAACGTTAGGGTGGCCGCTTTGCCCCACTCTCCCCTACCGAGACTCCCAGACACTTCCTAAATGTACAGGGACTTCCAGACACTCCCTAAATGTACCGAGACTCCCAGGTGTACTGGTTTATCAGGGCTGACGTAGGAGCGTCGCTGTAAGTTGACAGCCCCTCCATACGGCTGGGCGGGCCCGTGGCCCAACAGTCGGCGGCGGGCCCCCGCCACCATGCTGTCGTTGGCGTGCTGCAGATTGACCCGGTGGGCCCGGCTGTGGACCGGTCGCTGCCCAGTGTTGTCCCCCGGCTGTGGACCGGTCGCTGCCCAGTGTTGTCCCCCGGCTGTGGACCGGTCGCTGCCCAGTGTTGTCCCCCGGCTGTGGACCGGTCGCTGCCCGGTGTTGTCCCTCAGCGGCGGACCGGTCGCTGCCCAGTGTTGTCCCCCGGCTGCGGACCGGTCGCTGCTCAAGGTTGTCCCCCGGCTGTGGACCGGTCGCTGCCCAGTGTTGTCCCCCGGCTGTGGACCGGTCGCTGCCCAGTGTTGTCCCCCGGCTGCAGGCCGTGTCGCGGGTCTTCAGCTGCTGCCGCTGACGGGCTGTGTCTGTGTGTGTGCTCCGGCAGCTCGCTGGGCCTCATCAGTTTCGCGCTGGTGGTGCACGGCGTGGGGTTCGGCGGCGAGGTGGTGGCCGCCTTCGTGGACGCTCACCGGGAGGCAGTGTAAGTGGGGTCCGGGCGCGCGCGCACGACACCGGGGGGGGGGGGGGGGGGGCAGTGTAAGCGGGGCCGGGGCGCGCCGCCGTCACCGGAGACCAGCCACGTCAGACCGCTGGCGTCGGAACACCAGACAATCCGAAAGCCCATGAGGCATTCATTGATTGCTATGCTTACAAGTATGCATTAATCCTCGCCCGTAGACCCCCTTGCCGTTTCGCCACTGATCGAGATAAGGCTTCGCAGCAAATGCGAGCGTGTTGTACGTGACGAGAGGAAGCCGATGATACCTAATTTTAACCCTCGCATGTCCTAGAAGGTCAACCGATGACCGTGACTTACACCGTAACAGGTGCCGGTGACCGTGTCCGGTGACTGCGTCCGGTGATGTCCGTTGACTGCGTCCGGTGTTTGACGGCGGCTCGCCCGACTCTGTACGCAGCTACAACGGTTTCCCGGACAACTTGGACACGTACAGCATGGTGTCGGGCCTGTGGACCAGTATGTTCGCGTTCGGCGCGTTCGTCGGCCCCTCAGTGGCCGGCATCCTGTACGACCACTTCGGCTTCGGCTACGCCACGCTGCTGGTGGTCATCATGCACGTCGTCCTGGTGAGGCGGGGCCCGAGGAGGGGCACTGTCCCGGCGCCCGGCGTCCCCTGTCGGCGCCACTCACCCCTCGCAGTGTCATTAACTCCCCTGTCAGTGTCACCTCCCCTGTCCCGTCAGTGTCACCTCCCCTGTCAGTGACACCTCCCCCGTCCCGTCAGTGTCACTTCCCCTGTCAGTGACACCTCCCCTGTCCCTGTCAGTGACACCTCCCCTGTCCAGTCAGTGTCACCTCCCCTGTCCAGTGCCACCTCCCCTGTCCTGTCAGTGTCACCTCCCCTGTCAGTGCCACCTCCCCTGTCCCTGTCAGTGTCACCTCCCCTGTCCAGTGCCACCTCCCCTGTCCCTGTCAGTGTCACCTCCCCTGTCAGTGACACCTCCCCTGTCCCTGTCAGTGACACCTCCCCTGTCCAGTCAGTGTCACCTCCCCTGTCCAGTGCCACCTCCCCTGTCCTGTCAGTGTCACCTCCCCTGTCCAGTGTCACCTCCCCTGTCCCTGCCAGTGTCACCTCCCCTGTCCCGTCAGTACCACCTCCCCTGTCCTGTCAGTGACACCTCACCTCCCCTGTCAATGTTACCTCCCCTGTCCTGTCAGTGTCACCTCCCCTCTTCTGTCAGTGTCACCTCCCCTGTCCCGTCAGTGCCACCTCCCCTGTCCCGTCAGTGACACCTCCCCTGTCAGTGTCACCTCACCTCCCCTGTCAATGTTACCTCCCCTGTCCCTGTCAGTGCCACCTCCCCTGTCCCGTCAGTGTCACCTTCCCTGTCCAGTGTCACCTCCCCTGTCCCTGTCAGTGTCACCTCCCCTGTCCCTGTCAGTGTCACCTCCCCTGTCCCTGTCAGTGTCACCTCCCCTCTTCTGTCAGTGTCACCTCCCCTGTCCCTGTCAGTGTCACCTCCCCTGTCCCTGTCAGTGTCACCTCCCCTGTCCTGTCAGTGTCACCTCCCCTGTCCTGTCAGTGCCACCTTCCCTCCCCTGTCAGTGTCACCTCCCCTGTCCCTGTCAGTGTCACCTCCCCTGTCCCGTCAGTGCCACCTCCCCTGTCCCGTCAGTGACACCTCCCCTGTCAGTGTCACCTCACCTCCCCTGTCAATGTTACCTCCCCTGTCCCTGTCAGTGCCACCTCCCCTGTCCCGTCAGTGTCACCTTCCCTGTCCAGTGTCACCTCCCCTGTCCCTGTCAGTGTCACCTCCCCTGTCCCTGTCAGTGTCACCTCCCCTGTCCCTGTCAGTGCCACCTCCCCTGTCCCGTCAGTGTCACCTTCCCTGTCCAGTGTCACCTCCCCTGTCCCTGTCAGTGTCACCTCCCCTGTCCCTGTCAGTGTCACCTCCCCTGTCCCTGTCAGTGTCACCTCCCCTCTTCTGTCAGTGTCACCTCCCCTGTCCCTGTCAGTGTCACCTCCCCTGTCCCTGTCAGTGTCACCTCCCCTGTCCTGTCAGTGTCACCTCCCCTGTCCCTGTCAGTGCCACCTCCCCTGTCCCGTCAGTGTCACCTTCCCTGTCCTGTCAGTGCCACCTTCCCTCCCCTGTCAGTGTCACCTCCCCTGTCCCTGTCAGTGTCACCTCCCCTGTCCCTGTCAGTGTCACCTCCCCTCTTCTGTCAGTGTCACCTCCCCTGTCCCTGTCAGTGTCACCTCCCCTGTCCCTGTCAGTGTCACCTCCCCTGTCCTGTCAGTGCCACCTTCCCTCCCCTGTCAGTGTCACCTCCCCTGTCCCTGTCAGTGTCACCTCCCCTGTCCTGCCAGTGTCACCTCCCCTGTCCCGTCAGTGACACCTCCCCTGTCAGTGTCACCTCACCTCCCCTGTCAATGTTACCTCCCCTGTCCCTGTCAGTGCCACCTCCCCTGTCCCGTCAGTGTCACCTTCCCTGTCCAGTGTCACCTCCCCTGTCCCTGTCAGTGTCACCTCCCCTGTCCCTGTCAGTGTCACCTCCCCTGTCCCTGTCAGTGTCACCTCCCCTCTTCTGTCAGTGTCACCTCCCCTGTCCCTGTCAGTGTCATCTCCCCTGTCCCTGTCAGTGTCACCTCCCCTGTCCTGTCAGTGCCACCTTCCCTCCCCTGTCAGTGTCACCTCCCCTGTCCCTGTCAGTGTCACCTCCCCTGTCCCTGTCAGTGTCACCTTCCCTGTCCTGTCAGTGCCACCTCCCCTCTTCTGTCAGTGCCACCTCCCCTGTCCTGTCAGTGTCACCTCCCCTCTTCTGGCAGTGTCACCTCCCCTGTCCTGTCAGTGACACCTCACCTGTCCTGTCAGTGCCATCTGCACTGTCCCTTCAGTATCATCTCCCCGTGTCAGTGTCATACCCTCTGTCCTGTCAGTGTCACCGCCCCTGTCAGTGACACCTCCCCTGCCTGTCAGTATCATCTGTCATGTTTTGTCAGTGTCAGTGTCAGTGACACCTCCCCTGTCAGCCTGTCGTGTCAGTGTCACCTCTCAGTCACACCTCCCGTCTGCTGTCAGTCTCGCCTCCCCTCCCGAGTCAGTGTCTTCAGTCAGTCAGTCAGTGACTGCCCTTCTCCTGTCAGTGTGAGAGCCACCCTGTTCTGTTTCGGGGCGTCGGCCGTCCCGCCGCCTCTGTTTGACACGCGCCCCGACAGCCGGCTGACTGGCCGCGCGCCTGTGCCGGCAGCTGGCGGCCGTGCTGCTGTTCCTGGCCACTCGGCGCCGGCCGGCCGGCCACACTCAAACGCCCGCCGACAAGGAGAAGGGCGGCGACGCGCCGGCCGACCAGGAGAAGCTGCCGCTGCTGACGGGCAGCTTCGACAGCAGCTACGGCAGCGAGGACAACGTCAGCACCTCCGAGCTGGTCGTCTGGTGATCCCGGCCCGGCCGGCCGGCGCGGCGGGCCCGCGGCGCTGCGCGGTGACCGAGTCTAGCCCCCAGTGACCGAGCCTAGCGTCCCGGACAGAGCCTAGCCCCCTGGTGACCGAACCCGGTGACCGAGCCGGCGACCACTGCGTCGGGGCACTGGCAGTGTTCGTGCGGTCGGACCGGGCAGCCGCGGCACGAGCGGACCGGCGGCCGGCTGTAACCGCCGCCCGAACGCCCGCGCTCGTCTGCGCGTCTGTCTGCGAGCCCTCCAGGACACGCTGTTGCGGACTGTGGGCGGCATTGTGACCAGGTTTCTGAGGCGATGAAGCTTGCCAGGTGGGAGGGGGACGAGCGGAGGGGCGGGTGAGGCGACCGCCGCACTCCCCGCGGCTGGTAACTCTTCCCAGTCCTCTATCCACTGCGGGTACGCAGTCAACATATCGGGGAGCGGGACCAGCTCAATCGCCGTGCTGCCCTATACCGCACTGGAGTTGTACCGTGATGTGTTTGTGACAATACACAGGGGAGGAGAACACGGTGAGAGAGAGGGAGAGAGGGAGGGAGAGGAGAAGTCGGGGTGGGGCCACAGCAGACGGCCACTCTAGCTGTGGGTGGCTGACAGGACGAGCTCGTCCACACCCTGGCCGGCCCAGCCGGACGCCGCCGGCGTGGGGCTGGCCGGCCCACGGCAGCACCACATACACCACCTTTGTTCCGATGTGCGCACAGGGCATGATGTGCAAAACGTTCGGTATTCCGTGCCACCGTTATCAGCGCAGTCGTATTTCTCCGTCCAACAAGACCACGACAGAGCACAGCTGGTGTACCTACCACCGGCCGAGGCGCCCTAACGCCCCCAGCTCCCCGGCCGAGGCCCCCCCCAGCTCCCCGGCCGAGCCCCCCCCCCCCAACTCCTCAGACGAGCCCCCCAGCTCCCCGGCCGAGGCGCCCCCCCCCCCCAGCTCCCCAGACGCCGGTCTGCGCCGATGGTCGGCCGCTGCACACCCGCTCGCCTCTGCCAAGACCGTGTATTGGGAACAGTCCAAACGGCGCCAAACCAGGACAGATTGCAACTCAGATTGACCTAGCATATGGGTACGCCATGCAGAGAACACCGCCAGCGGGCCTAGCGCACGGCAGGGCCGACAGCGCAGCTCGGCGACCCACGCACCCACCCGGCGCAATTTGACGAGCCGGCGGACACTTAGGCGCCAACAAGCGTCCGATCACCGGCCCAGAAAACAAAAACAATCAGCCTGGCCGCCTTCCTATAGCGATTCCGAATACCAATAGCGAAATCGGCCGGCAACAATTAGCTAAAGCGCTCACAACGCGGTTGATTTAAGATCGACTGTGGACTAGGAGACGGCGAAATGTTGCTAATGCCCGCCGGCGCCGCAGCCGGCCGGTTAGTGGGCCTTTCCGTCCAGCTCGACCTCGACGTTCTCCTCCTCGTAAGTGGCCGTGTGTTTGGCCAGGATGCGCATCAGCGGGCGCAGCTTCATCCACCACTGCTGCTTCTGGATGCGGTGTCTGCCGGCGCGGCGGGCGGCGCGTCAGACCGGCACTCCGGGGTACGGCGGACCCGCACCGAGGGCCCGACAGAACACAACACCGCCACCGCGCGGGGAAAAACTAATGGCAATGTATGTACACACTGGCGAGGGAGGGAACACCATTCTTCACCTTCTCTTACTGAGCAACTTGTGGAAAATTAACTTACACAATTTTTACGTTCTATTTAGAATCATCACACCTATGCCAAAGTACAATGACCAAGGAACGGCTGATGGCCAGCTGTTACCAGGAAGGTCACTCTACATAAAGCCCCATAAATCTTTCTTCAATAACATTTGAAAGAAAATCTATCTCGTCCAGTCTGTCCAGTCAAAATCTATCCCAGTCTGTATGGTATCATTCCCCCTGTACTCACTCCCAGTCTGTATGGTATCATTTCCCCTGTACTCACTCCCAGTCTGTATGGTATCATTTCCCCTGTACTCACTCCCAGTCTGTATGGTATCTCCCTGTACTCACTCCCAGTCTGTATGGTATCATTTCCCCTGTACCTTCTCACTCCCAGTCTGTATGGTATCTCCCATGTACTCACTCCCAGTCTGTATGGTATCTCCCTGTACTCACTCCCAGTCTGTATGGTATCATTTCCCCTGTACTCACTCCCAGTCTGTATGGTATAATTTCCCCTGTACTCACTCCCAGTCTGTATGGTATCTCCCTGTACTCACTCCCAGTCTGTATGGTATCTCCCTGTACTCACTCCCATTCTGTATGGTATCATCTCCCATGTACTCACTCCCAGTCTGTATGGTATCATCTCCCCTGTACCTACTCACTCCCAGTCTGTATGGTATCTCCCTGTACTCACTCCCAATCTGTATGGTATCTCCCTGTACTCACTCCCAGTCTGCATGGTATCTCCCTGTACTCACTCCCAGTCTGTATGGTATCATTTCCCCTGTACTCACTCCCAGTCTGTATGGTATCATTTCCCCGGTACTCACTCCCAGTCTGTATGGTATCATCTCCCCTGTACTCATTCCCAGTCTGTATGGTATCATCTCCCCTGTACTCATTCCCAGTCTGTATGGTATCTCCCTGTACTCACTCCCAGTCTGTATGGTATCATTTCCCCTGTACTCACTCCCAGTCTGTATGATATCTCCCTGTACTCACTCCCAGTCTCTATGGTATCATTTCCCCTGTACTCACTCCCAGTCTGTATGGTATCTCCCTGTACTCACTCCCAGTCTGTATGGTATCATTTCCCCTGTACTCACTCCCAGTCTGTATGGTATCTCCCTGTACTCACTCCCAGTCTGTATGGTATCTCCCCAGTACTCACTCCCAGTCTGTATAATATCATTTCCCCTGTACTCACTCCCAGTCTGTATGGTATCTCCCCTGTACTCACTCCCAGTCTGTATGGTATCTCTCCAGTACTCACTCCCAGTCTGTATGGCATCATCTCCCCTGTACTCACTCCCAGTCTGTATGGTATCTCCCCTGTACTCACTCCCAGTCTGTATGGTATCTCTCCAGTACTCACTCCCAGTCTGTATGGCATCATCTCCCCTGTACTCACTCCCAGTCTGTATGGTACCATTTCCCCCGTACTCACTCCCAGTCTGTATGGTATCTCCCTGTACTCACTCCCAGTCGGTCTCGGGCTTGAGCGAGTGGACCGGCGTAAACTCGTAGCGCCGGGAGCGCAGGCCCAGCATGCACACCGTCTCCGGCTGGTTGGTGAACACGGAGCCGTCCTCGCGCGTGTTCTCCGTCATCTGGCGCACCAGCCAGTCGGTGCACTTGGCCGCCATCTTGGTGGCCATGTTGCGGTCGAACGGGCTGGGTGAGCCGCCCTGCTGCATGTGGCCTGGCCGCGGGGCAGCGCCGGTCAGCGGGTCAGCGGCCACCCACACACCCCTGGCTGACTGTGAGGGCGGCCACTGCGCCGGTCAGCGGGTCAGCGGCCACCCACACACCCCTGGCTGACTGTGAGGGCGGCCACTGCGCGGTCAGCGGCCACCCACACACCCCTGGCTGGCTGTGAGGGCGGCCACTGCGCCGGTCAGCGGCGGGTCAGCGGCCACCCACACACCCCTGGCTGGCTGTGAGGGCGGCCACTGCGCCGGTCAGCGGGTCAGCGGCCACCCACACACCCCTGGCTGACTTTGAGGGCGTACACTGCGCGGGGCACTCCGCACAAACGCACCGGGTCGCTCAGTCACCGTGAACATAACATCCGAAATACACTGTAAAACAGACACACATTGAAAATGCCCAAAAAAGCACGGCACGAACATAAAGAAAATACGTTTAATGTTGAGCTATTGTACTGTGCCTTAGCAGGGTATCCCGAAAGCTTGTTGACAGGCACCAACCACGTTTTTGCGTCGATATTCCTGCAGTAGCTTGAAAGTCAGCGTCGAACTTTCATATGGGCACTAGTAACAACCAGTCTGGCAGAGTAACGTTGTTTTCAAATGCATCCGGCCGCGTGTGAGCCACCTTGGTCCGTGTCCATAAGTCAGACGCGACAATGGAGGTCGCAAGTTCGGGTCAGTTCAGCTCCACTCTCCGCTTCCAGAGTGTGGAAAGGAGGTCCTAACTGAACAAAGCTGGGGGAGGAATTGGTGCAAAATGATGAACAGCCAAATAATTGCATATGACATTCTTATAGACGAAAAAATGAGGCACAACAAAACCGTTTTGGACGACTTGCGTACACCAGCAGGATAGTGTGTCGGAACACAACTAAAAATACAGTAAAAACTTTACATTCGAAGTAAAACACCCGACAAACGACATTATGACCAGGCTTGAGCAGCTTACAAAGCAGAATTTCTTCTGAAGGTAACTGAAGCCTGAAGGTAACGCTCAGTAACCCGGCGAGTGTTTCACTGTAGGTAGTGATAAACACTCAAGAGCTGACAAAATTGCGCAAGTACAGTCTCAGAAACAGACGGCCGATACATTCTGCTACGAGGCGATACGAACAGATTTACCCCAGGCGCCTGCCGTTTGTCTAGAAATGGCGTCGTTTTGGAAAGGAAAATGGTGCTCGGGATGTCAGCGCCTGTTTTCGTGAAGGCGTTGGCGCTAAGCATACTAATGAATGGTGCCAAGGCAAGCTGTCTGCTTCATAGAAGAAACAGATGTCGGCAGGGAGCTCATGCAACATAAATGAGACGCAGAACCTAAGGCAAGTTTTCCAGCAAGAGCTCGTCAGCAAGGAAGCCTTCGTCAGTCTTCCGCAGCTGATGGAGAGACTAAAATCGCCGGGGCACAAATTTTGGGGGCTACAACGTTTGGTCTCCGATCATTACGCACGTTTGGTCTCCGACATGCTGAATTGGTTGTCAAACATGTAGTGATGTGCAGCATATACTCGTACATGCCTACTATATACCTATTTATATATGCATACACATATGGACATATATTTTTGCGGACCCTTATATGCTTTATTGACCTGAGAAATGTGTCAACGAATTTTCAGGACACGGACACCCTGTACGAGGTCCGAGCCGGGGTTCGACCCATGACGTTCGTTCCGTGGAGCGGCTCAGTATAAGGATGCAGAGGCGCCTCCCTTCCCCAAGGGCGGCGCCGGCAAGACAAGAGGCAGGAGCAGCTGGCGGTCTGAGAAACGTGCACACAGTTGTGCGAGAGATTAACGTTCAGCTACGTGGGAACTTGACCTCAAATTCTCAGCCCATGAAACAAAACAATACAATCTGAAGGTGGGAGCTCGGCATACCGAGGAGCCTTGAATCGTTTAGGGGCATATGAAGTCTGTCCCGACCTAAGGTGCCCAGAGGCAGGGCTGCAGAGTCGGAATCGGAATCGGTCGGAGTCGACAGCGCTGTCCGGAGTCGGAGTCGCCAAAATCTGACAGGCTCTGACTCCGGAATCACTGCATGGTCCAAAGGCATGCCCCACACCTGCTTGCTTTACATCACGTCCGTTGACCTTTCCACATCATATTTTGTCGAAGCTAAGGCCATACTCTTGTTTTGGACGAGCGTTTTCAGCAACAAAAGCAGAAGATCGCGGCTGCGACAGAAGCTGCTTTTAGTTCTGCATGCTAATTAAAAGGCATATTTGCAACGCAGGCCTTGCAGTGCGCAAAGGATGGTCCCAGGCAAGAAAAAAGATCTCCTATGTAAGCTTTACTATCATGTTGTGCGCTTTAGAGCACCGTCCGGAGCGGAGTGGGAGTAGGAGTGGGAGTGGGAGTGGGAGTGGGAGTAGGAGTGGGAGTGGGAGTGGGAGTGGGAGTGGGAGTGGGAGTGGGAATCGCCCAAAATCCGCCGACTCCGCAGCCCTGCCCAGAGGACACTGGCAGAAAAATAAGTCCAAGACCTGATAGGCAGCTTGGCGTGGTTCTTTCCGCCATCCCCCACACCTCCAGCAAACCAGCGCACTGGCCCCGCCCCCCCCCCGCCGGCCGGCCGGCCACTCACCGAGGACGTTCATGCGGCAGGAGAAGGTGTTCTTGCCCTCCTCGGTGAACACCTGGTGCAGAAACTCGGTGGTGTAGTTGGGGTTGGCGTACTCGTTCCTGGCGGCGGCAGGACGCACCGTTAGGCGGGACGGTCGGCGAGGCCGCCCGCTCCCCACACCCCACAGCTGAGTGGACGGCACACGGCACTGGGCAGTGGGCACGGCGTCACACGGACCTGAGCACGAGGCCGCGCTTGATGCCACCCTCGTCCATCTTCTGGATCAGGTGGTAGATGTCCTCGCGGATGTCGGCGATGCTGAACGGCTCCTCGAAGATGTAGGCGTTGTCGGCGCCACCGGCCAGCGCTGCCAGTCAAATGTCAGAGGTCAGAGGCCAAAGCCCAGAGCACAGATGGCACGAAGGTCAGCTGTCGGAGTTCACAGAGATCACAGGTCACAGAGACCAGAGGTCACCCCGTTTCACAGGCACGCTGCTGCCGGCTACTAGTGCTATGAAACTTAGCGGTGTTTCCATGGGAACCGAAAGCGCAATAGCACTAGCGGCGTCTAGCAGCGTATCATGAAAAGGGGCCCTGAGATCCCAGGCGTCAGAGGCAGAGAACACAGAGGTCGGAAATGGTGTGCGGCCAAACGTCAGAGGTACTGAGGTCATATAGGGTCAGAGTTGAGCGCCGCGGACTGCCACAGAGCCGAGCGCCAACGACGCTATGGCACAGTGCAGCACAAGGCATATGCTTCGTGCCGAAAGCCAATAGCCGATTAAACTACATCTTCTCCCTTTAATTTGAATAAGTGAAAACAACTCAATTTGTAAAAGACGGCTTTGAACTTAAAAGAGACGATCATTTTGAGAAACAAAACAATTAGGCTTATTTTACTCTCAACGTCAGGACGTTTTTTTCTAATTATTGTGATTGCGGGGAACTCGTTGGAGATGGATAGCTGACATTTCGAATATACCTAAACCAGTATAACGCCTTTTGGGGCGACTAACGGAGCGAGCGGGAGGGTGAGCATTGCACGTGCGAAATTTCGAGGGGTATGTATGTACCTCCAACTGACTGGTGCACGGCACCCTACTAACCGGTCTCTAGCGATGTGCCAAATTTGAGCACAATCGGCCCAGCCGTTCTCGAGATCTAGAAGCGGCACCCTGCACGTGTGTACCTGCAAAATGGGTCCCAACTGACTTGTGTACGGCACCCTACTAGCTGCTCCCTAGCCGTGTACCAAATTTGAGCGCAATCAGTCCAGCCGTTCTCGAGATCTGGAATCGACTCCTGCACGTGCGCACGTGCAGCAGCATCCCAACTCTGGCACATGTATATGCATTGCCTAGTGGGTGCCTACCTACATGCCAACTTTCAGTGCAATCGGCCCAGTAGTTACCGAGATATTGCAACTATTACAAAACTGACACCTCTTCGTTTTGCACGTGGCACTAAGGGGTCACCCACATGCATCAGGGATAGTCCAATACTTAGTTAAAGGAATGAAGCTACCCTACATAAAGTATCACGTGTAAATCGGTCAAGTGGTTGCTGAGATATAAGCCTCGCAAAAGCGTCCGCACGGCCGGCCGCTCATACTCAGAAATTTCCGTTAATCTAAGGAAAGACTCCGCTCGCTTCGCTCGCTCCGTAAAAAATAGAGTAAATGATACCTTTTTCTGTGCTTTAAGTGGGATCGATTGCCCTAGGTACCCGTTTTTCAGGTCAGGTTAGGCAAGTGACGTCCTATGACGTTATACGTGAAACGTCTCGTGTCAGTGAATACGTTCATTTTTTTACAAGAGGGTCTAGTTTAATTAAGAGCAAAGCGGCGAAAGGAGTAGTCCTTCCATTCGAAAAAGACGAAAAAGAGACGCATGACGAAAGTCAATGCGTCGGGCGAGGGTAAGGCTATCGGATCCCTCTGCTCTACATATTCGTATGCGTTCTTTATGTTCTGTGTGTTCGCGTCTGTTCTGTATGTTCTGTGTATGCTTTGTATTTTCCTGTGTCCGAATTGCCTGCTCTGTGTCGATGTTCTGTTCTGTGTTTGTTCTATCTGGTCTGTGTTTTTCTTCGGCGTTTTTTGTTTGTGTGCTCTGCTGTGTTCTGAACTCCACACCCAGAACACCAGAAGGACAAAAGTGTAAAAGTTAGAGCTAAACTTTGTGCTCTCCGCTCCAAGCATGTTTCGTCTTAGGTTTTGAGTTTCGTTTCGCGTTCTGTGCCCTGCCATGGCCCTGCTCTGCCTTCTGCTCCGTTCTCAAATCACCCACCGCCCGGCCCCTCACACCCACTGCCCGGCCTCCGCACCCACCGCCCGGCCCGCACACCCATCGCCCGGCCCCCCACCCATCGCCCGGCCCGGACACCCACTGCGCGGCCCGCACAACCACCCGCCCCGCCCCTCACCCACCCGCCATGGTGGCCAGGTAGCCGCAGTAGCCGCCCATTGTCTCGATGATGAAGACGCGCTGTTTGGTGCCCTGTGCCGACTGCCGGATTCGGTCACAGATCTGCCGGGGCCGCCAGATTGCGTCAGGACAGACTCACGCACCGACACACACACTCCATCAAACAGCAGACCGCTGGCAGCGGCCGGCAGCTGCAGCAGCATCTGACCGCTGGCAGCGACCGGCAGCTGCAGCAGCATCTGACCGGAGCTAGCTCCACACAGCCCTGCTACCCACATCAGCGGTCTGTCAGCATCGGCACGTCGGGACGCCGGCCGACTCCACCACCGTTCTCCATGGACTGGCGCCATAGCTCTGTAAACACGCGCCCCAGTCACACACGACCCGCAGCCCAGTGGCACTTGCCGATCCCGCTGCCTCAGAGGGCCGGGGCCGCTGCCTCAGAGCGCCGGTGCCGCTGCCTCAGAGGGTCGGTCCCGCTGACTCCGAGGGCCGGTGCCCCTGGGCCGGTCCCGCTAGCCCAGAGGGCCGGTGCCGCTGCCTCAGAGGGCCGGTGCCCCTGCCTCAGAGGGCCGGTGCCGCTGGCCCAGAGCGCCGGTGCCCCTGCCTCAGAGGGCCGGTGCCGTCACTGCCGCTGCCTTAGAGGGCCGGTGCCGCTGCCTCAGAAGGCCGGTGCCGCCGCTCCGATCGGGAAGGGTGGAGCGCAGGGGGAGGGGAGGGGGAGGGGGAGGGAAGGGGAGGGGAGGGGTGCTGTCAAACGAGAGCCACACCAGTTCCAACGGAAACCTCACGTACTAACAGCGGTAATCGGAGAAGATACCGCCGCTCAAATATTTAAACGATGACTATTGGTCTGGCCGGTGACACTGGCCAGCGCCGGCGCTGCCGATAGGGGCCCGATGGCCATTGTCCGCCTGCTGGAGGGCTCCGATCAGCCTGCAGTGTACTTTGTCAAGGTCAGAGAGTCTGTGTAACTGTAGAGGCCAGAACACGGCGGCAGCGCGGCGGGAGCCCGCCCGCCTGACCCGAGTACTTTCCACAGCGCCGTCAACACAGTCGTGGAGCTGTACGGAGGCGATACCGACGAGACGACTTTCAGAATTGAAAGGTCGTTTGAAGGCCCAGAGAATATGTTGAATTAAGCCTAATTTTGTTGGACTCAATAACACTGATGACGCCAAAGGCCACACCAAAGTATAAAGAAAACTTCAACATTTAGGCATGTTACAATTTTCAGTCGAAATACGCATACCTATCAATCATGCAGTGATATACGAGCGCTATATGAGTGTGTTATGAAGGAGCAATGAGCAAGCAAGGAGCCTAATTACAGAATAAGGGATATGAGCTGTGGAGGTGTGCGCTGCAGACTATGTCATATTCACTGCGTGAGATGCCTCTATGGTTGGGCGTCGCCGTGGAGGTGCCGATGATGGTTGAGAGGACCGCGCTGCCGCTGGGTGCCGCTCCGGTGCACTGCAGCGGGCGGTGACTGACCTCGGTGATCTCGTTGACGGCCGTGTCGCAGCCCAGCGAGAATCCGGTGCCGGGCACGTTGTTGCTGATGGTGGCCGGGATGCAGGCCATGGGCACACACAGCTCCGGGTGCTGCTGGCGGGCGTCACAGAGCTGCAGCAGCGTCAGGTACGCCTCGAACCCGCCAATCACCAGCAGCGCCTGACAACACACACACACACACCTACTTGTAAGCGCTCACTCGTCAGGACCATGACACCCCACCGACTTGACAGGACCGGGTGATTTACGGAGGGTAGTTGCTTTTTAAGATCGAAACATTTATTTACAGCACATATACAAGAATCAAAAACATTTTGAATCAATATTTCTCTCGTACAATGATATCGATATTCTGCGTGTAAGCACCGACCCGTCAGGACCGACCGCCCGCTGGGTGGTTGACAGTCCGTCAGGCAGGTGCGGTGACCCTAATTAGGATCGGAATGTGAAGGGACAGACGGTGGCTCGGTCGGAAGGCAAATGAGGTAAGGTTTAACCCTATTCCTGGCGGGCTCCGCCGGGACAAGAAACTGGCGGGGGGCCGATTCGGCCCCCCCCCCTGAGATCTCGAAAACGAAGCAAGATAGCGACAAGCGGTAAACGGCATCGGATACGCACGGCCAAGATCTACAATTTTTACAAAGGTCATTTTCAGGTCAGGTCAAAGATGACGTCACAGGGGTCGAAAAAGTCAAAATGGCGGCGCTAGATATGGAGAGAGTTTTTCTCGAATAACTTTCGAATTAGTCAAGATAGGAACAAACTAAGGGCATCATCGTGATCCTCTCGTCCTTCCGCATCGAATGATATATATGTTGACCTCGAAAGGTCAAGGTCAAAGGCTGACCTCAGGTCACGTGACCTCGAGGTCATCATGTATATCATTCGATGCGTCTTGACGAGCTGAACACAATGAGACCATCCACGCGTCTGTATCTTGTTCCTGTACGGAGTTATTGGCCAAAAACCTTTGGTGACCTTTGATGACGTCACATGACCTCACAGCTGCCCAACAGCAAAACAGACCTCAAGGTAGTGAAGGTTGATCGTATATGAAGTCATGTATGGTATATGGGGCCATTCCGACCCGTTTTAGTGGTAAAAACAGGGAGTTGATTTTTCCCCCATTGACTTATAATGGGGAGGTCGCGAAATTGACCTGACCTTAGGTCACCGATATCAAAATTCCGAGATATACAAATTGCACATACTGGTACCCTAACTAAACCCTGAAGAGAAGAAATTGATCGGTCAAAAACTCTAGCTCTGGCGTGATTGCAAACTTTTCTGAGGTAGGGTCACCAAACCGCCTCTGGTGACCTGACCTGAGGTCAGATCAACTCAAAATTTTCAGACATGTTGCGTAGAAGCCTTTTAGGAAAAGTCAGAAAATTTGAGCTTCCTAGCTCAACGCGTTTGGGAGAAATAACCAAAAAACCTCAGGGGGGCTCCTGAGGCCCCCCCCCCGCCAGGAATAGGGTTAAAGAGGGAGGAAAACGGGCTGGCCCCATGCACGTGTAAGTTCTCCCGGCGTACCGCTCGCAGGGACAAGGAGGGAGGAGGGGAGGGGGGTCAGCGGCCCGTAAAGTTGTGAATATATATGCAGAGCGGGTAAGCCCATCAAATTACGCGTAACATCCCTACGCCATACAACATAATTCGGCCACATAACTTGATTTATACTATCCTGATATATAATAATTGAATGAGGACATTTACTCCACAAGAAATCGTTCGGGTCGGAGCTTTCGAATTGTATTACAAAAGCTTCGTCAGCGTATCGTAATCGGGTTCGGGGGTATCGGTCGCATCATTTAGGGCGATTCGTCTTTGGCAGACAAGGACATGTCACAGAATACAGATAGTAAAATAGATAAATAGCACGTGACATTCTATGATAAAACATTTAACCCTCGCCCTGGCAGGGCATTTTTCATAACACGGCCTGGCAGGGGGGGGGGGGTCGATGCGACCCCCCCCCCTCGCGATTGGCCCCTATGGCACCTAGAAACACCAAATTTGGTAGGTAGGTGGGCACCCCGGAGTTCTCGCCCCTGTGCAAATTTGGTTGCTCTAGGTCAATATTTAGGGGGGGTTTTGGGGGGTATAAATGTAAAAATTTCGCTAAAAACAGGTCAAAAGTTTTTCGCTTATAACTTTTGATCTAATTAAGATAGAGCAAAAAGAAAAGCACCAGTGAACTCAGCACGTCAAGGCGCGTCGAATGATATACTTTTTAGCTTTCTTACGTGTACTTAAAGTTTTTCTTAATTTTTAAGTAAACTTTAATTAATCAATTAAGTTCAAGTTAACCAAATTGCATCATATTGCATATCATTCGATTCGGCTGATCACCAGGAACACAATGACACTATTTTTTAAGCTCTAGCGTCATTATGTGCCAAGTTATTGGCAAAAACGTCATTTGACCTCAGTTGACCTCATTTGACCTGACCCATGGATAAGTACACCAAACAAAGAAGCACCAAGTGACCTGCTGTTAAGTACTGTGGTTTCAAAGCACAAAAGTGATAGAACGAAGCGGATATCTCCAGTATTTTCCTAATTTAGTATTTTCCCATAGGCTTAACATTACGACGTAATGACCTCTAACTGACCTCAGGTCAGTGACCTCAAAAAACCCGAACTATATGTTATACAACTCGGTGAACTTAGCACACCCTGAAAGTTTGAAGGAAATCAGTTCAAAACTGTGAGCAGGACAGGTGCGAAAAGAAAATTGAAATTTGACCATGACCTTGTACCGGTTTTTCTGACCTGGTGACCTGACCCAAGGTCACCCGGACCTGAAATTTTCAAGTCACATGTAAAAAGGTTGCCCCATAGGCTGTGCCAAATTTGGCGGCGCTGCGCGCCGCCGTTTTTACGCTATCTTTGAAAAACCTTAGGGGGGGGGGGGGTCGCATCGACCCCCCCTGCCAGGGCGAGGGTTAACATTAGTGGTGTCAATCGGTTACCGAAAAAATCGGTTACCGAAAAGATATGCTGACCGATTCGGTAATCGGTCGGTCAGGCCCCCCAAAAATCGGACACTTTCGGTCACCCTGTCAGTGAAACCATTTTCAAAAAGAGAAAGTATTCCATTTTTGCCTAGTTAAAATGAAAGTTATTGGGATGTTAATGATAAAGTTGCAAAATTTCCCCCAAATACTACAAGGGATGCCATGTTTTGGCAACTTCAGTAGCCATCCCACTCAGCAGGCAGCAGCCACCAATTGTCCAACCACAACCACAAGCAGGCTGATTTTGACTCAGTTGGCCCCACAAATACACACCATTGTGAAACTCAATTCCAGTCTTTAACTGTAAGTAACTTCTACCACAAAATGTATTTTGCAGTGGCTAAGAATTGACTGAACTTGGACTGAAATGCCATTTCCCATTAGTTTCCATCAGAATTTACCAAATAATTCAATTTTGGGGTAGAGTAATAGCAAATAGAATTTCGGTCAAATTTCGGTCAAATTTTGGCTTGGGATGTTATCGGTCGGTATTCGGTCGGAAATTTTTCCCAAATTTCGGTTTCGGTCGGTATCGGTCAGACATTTTTTGGAAAATGACACCACTAGTTAACATATATGAAAAAGAAGGAAATATCTCATAAGCGATATACATTCTAATTATACCCAAATCTGTTAAATAACAAAGGTTATATAAAGTGATTACGGAGCGAGCGAAGCGAGCGGAGTCAATAACGGAAATTTCTGAGTATGAGCGGCCGGCCGGCCGGCCGTGGTCACGATTCTGCGACGCTTATATCTCAACAACCACTTGACCGATTTACATGCGGTAATTTTTGTAGGGTAGCTTCATTCCTTCTACCAAGTATTGGACGATTCTCGATGCATGTGGGTGACCCCTTATGCACGTGCCACGTGCAAAACGAAGAGGTGTCACTTTTGTAATAGCTGCAATATCTCGGTAACTACTGGGCCGATTGCGCTGCAAGTTGGCATGTAGGTAGGCACCCACTAGGCAATGCATATCCATGTGCCAGAGTTGGGGTGCTGCTGCACGTGCGCACGTGCAGGGGTCGTTTCCAGATCTCGAGAACGGCTGGACCGATTGCGCTGAAATTTGATACACGGTTAGGGACCAGTTAGTAGGGTGCCGTGCACAAGTCAGTTGGGACCCATTTTGCACGTGCGCACGTGCAGGGTGCCGCTTCCAGATCTCGAGAACGGCTGGGCCGATTGTGCTCAAATTTGGCACATCGCTAGAGACCGGTTAGTAGGGTGCCGTGCACAAGTCAGCTGGAGGTACCCCCTCGAAATTTCGCACGTGCAAGGCCCACCCTCTCGCTCGCTCCGTTAGTCGCCCCAAAAGGCGTTATACTGGTAAATAGTAATAAAGACCTACCTATATATAGCAAGTGATATAAACATGTATGCAACATCAATAGGTAATAGGCTAACAAAGGTACCAGGTATATAAAATACACTATAAACGACCAAGGTAAAGAGTAAAAATGATAGCAATGATCAAAAACACTCCATCAATAGGCTAGAACATTCACAACAAATAACATTAATAAAAGGAGGATATAAAGTTCACGAGAAAAGTAGCCATATGCAACAACCAATGGGGGGGGGGGGGAGGCGTGAAATATATAAAAAAGACAAGTCAAAATCGTACAAGCTTTTAGCGGCAGGCAGTAGGCACTGCGGATAATGGGTAGCCAGCGATCCTGTAGCATAGCACCTGAATTCCTGTTCAAATTGGCATCATTTGAATACAATTCGAATCATTGAATACAATTCGAAAGCTCCGACCCGAACGATTTCTTGTGGAGTAAAGTCCTCATTCAATTTTAGCAAACTCCACATCATGCCCTTTAGTGTATCCTGATATATTTTACCTCGGTTTATATAGCTATGCCGTCATATGTTGGCCCGAAATCTGCGGTTCTCATGATGTATGAAAAGTTCCTGCCCGCTTATGAGTGCATTGGTGGGATTGCATATGATATAAATGATGCCAATAATAGTGTTAATACGATGTCACATCCCACAAAGGTCTCATTGGACCGAAGGGGTCCATTCCATCACAGCAAATACGAACCCAACCTACTCGTACAATATGTAGGCTTTCCACTCATAAAGCATGAGCCACTTTACAGCGACTTCTGGCCATGCTGT